AAAAAAAAGCAAAAGCAAAACAAGAAACAAACATTGGATGAACAAGAAAAAGACCAAAAGGAAAAGCCAATTAACAGCATCATTACAACCACAAAACTGCAGTAGCAGATTCATTTTATTACAAAGCACACGACCAACCTTAACAAATACAACCACATCTCTCACTCACAAGTGTTGAGTGTGGACAAGCATCAACATTAATCAGCAAATTCATCATAACTCCGATGACGATTTCGGGCGGGCCGCAGCCTAAACCGGCACATCGGAACTGCAAGTCCAAGACCCGGCCACCAGTAACCGGCCCGAATACCCGACTTTAAACTGAGTGATGGAAAGATCCCACAAGCCAAGAGATATTCAAAGATTAATCATAAAAAAATCAAGAAACAAAGCCAAAATGAGAGATGAAAAGTGGGGACCTTTTTTTCCCTTTTTATCACCAAAACGCGCATGCTCACAAAATCCATGGGGAGACCTTTTTACACACACACCACTATATATCAACATATAACCATGCGTTCAAATTCTGTCATGCTTGCTTTAAAGTCCTCTCTCCACAATAAAGCACTCTTTAAAAATAATCATCATTTCAACCCCAACAATTATAGCTCCAATTTTCATCTTCACACCACTTGAGAGTATAATGAGAATGAGACTGAGATTAAAGATCCCATTAAGCTTGCTCCAACTTTAATAAAAGGGTCTCTGAGCCAAAAAGAGAAGAAAAAGAAAAAAAAAAGCACACCTTCATTAGCCGTTTCAAAACCGACCATGATTATATCGAAACACGCCTTGATGACTTCCTTGCCACAACCCCACATTGGCCTAATTATTTCTTCCTCTCGAACGGGCGGTTAGGGGAAAATGAGGGATTCGTCCCTGGAGTAGCTGAGTCCAAGGGCTTCGGCTTCGGTTTTCATCGATTTCAAGTAAGCAATCGCGTTGTCGATAACGGAAAGTGGGTCCCGGCCATCTATGCCCGGGATAATACTCTCCAAGATTCCCATTGCTTGACGGATTTTAACCTTCTTTTCTCTCTTAACCGAATCGATTTCATCATCGACATAGGGATTTCCATAAATAGCCGGTGATTTATTCAACGTGCCGTCGAGCAGTTTTTGTCTTTTCTGCGGGCCATTAGAATCCACCGCATGTTCAGTTTGCTCCTCGAGTAATTTGTCTTTGTTATTATACCCCTCTTCAGTTGTGAATGGCGTGTGGTCCGTGCTAGCCACTTCATCATCATCATTATCATCATATTCATCATCGTCACTATCAGAATAAAACAAGGCATCGATTTCATCAGTATCTTCAGGCACATCATTCTCGCCTTCTCCATCAGTCAAATGATTTTCATCCCATTTTTCCTCGAATATTGGGTTTGCCAAGTATTCGGTGTTCACCCCAGCTGCCATTTCGTCAAACGGGCCCTTAGCACTTGCTGGAGTGCTCTGATTTTGGGGGGAAAATGAAGGGGTGAAGAAAAATTTTGTTTGATTTCCTGTTTGATCGAAAATGAGAAACCTTTTCTGTGGGGCACACAGAGTATCATCATCAGTCGGCTTGCTGTGAACTAACGGATTTTCAGTTCGATACAAGATATTCCCGATCTGAGGCATCAGTTTTGAAGACAAGTAAGCTGCATTTTCTTGGCTTGTGTTCGAACCAGGCAAATCATTTGAAGCAGACTGCCCTAGAAATGTGGCAGTACCATTGGCAATAAGCTTTGACGGAGGAAAAAATGACACATTATAATTTCGATCATTTTGTAAAAGTGCCATCTGATCCAAATAGGTTATCTTTTGAGACTCCTTGGCTGTAAACATCCAACCGAACAAAAAGAAAAACCCTGGTATATATGGTAATAATAATCATATCAAAACTCAGAAAATGATTTGAGATCACTATCCACAGTGTAAAAAAAATGAAAATAAATAAATAGCCATACCGGGATTATACTAATTTGTCGTCCTGCAATTAAATTACTTCTGGATATGCTAAAAACAAAAAGGAACGTAAAGAAAGAATAAAATCTTGCTAGCTTGATGTGAAATAACCGGAAAATGGAACCAATCTACGTAACGGGTTTCAGCAAGTGACGGAAATACTCAGCCTGGAAAACAGTTAAATCAGAGAAATTAGAATATTTGCAAAACAAACAGTTGAATGAGATATTATAGACAAAACTCGATATATACAAAAGAAGAAACAAACCTGGCAATTTTGCAAAGGTTGAAAGCATGCTATAACTTTGACGATTATGGTAGTTTTCCCAGCCATCCCATTCTCGTGTTTATGAGCCTTAAATCTCGTCTGGCTTGCTGCTTGGCACACCATAACTACTTTTGACAGTTCTTTCAATAGACTTCAAAAGGAACGATTGAAACTTTCGACAGAACAAGGACAACTAAGAAAAGGAAATATGAAGTCCCGGCTAAAAATAAAGATGACGATAGCTAGAGATTTTAGTTGGACGACAAAATGAACTTGAATGGAGAAAAATCTAACAAAGAAACACAAGAAAGTTTAGCTCAGATAACTAAATTGAAACTAGTGATAAAAACTGAAAGAACTAGAATACTCCAACGGCTCTATATTTCGGAAACTTCATAGAATATAGAAAAAACAAATGAAAAGGGGCAAGTGATTGGATCCCATGGATTTCGAATTAGAACAAGGCTAGCGGAAGAAACGATTTGGTCTCAACACAAAGCGAGCAAAGCTTATAGAATAACCCTGCAGTACAAATTCAAGGAAATAACATAGCGAAAAACGTCGATCGACAAACTCAGCCACCGCATATTTGTTCAAGCCCTTATATCATGAGGGAGAGATTGGAACAAGCCACCTGAAACAAGAGAAAACAGACCTTAAACAGAATGAAATTAGCTGTTACTTAAAGTCAGTAAATAACAACTTTTAATGTTGCCTGAATATGAAACGAAACTCCTTTAACTAAAAATGTAGGAGATCTAGAAAAGGCAGAACAAATCTTAAGTCCAACAATTCATGTTTCACTTTTCTCATCAAGACAGAACAGTTTAGTCCCAAACATCTTATCATCTTTGCTTTTATCTGCTCTACCAAAAAAAAACAAAAAAAAAAAAACAAAAAAAAAAAATTAAAAAGAAAAAAAAAATCAAGGGCACAATTATAGTGACACAAACTCTAATCAGGCAAAGCAGAGTCATAACCAAATTAAATATTTTGATCAAACCCACATGAAGAAATAACTGAATTATTCAAACAATCATGTTTTCTTGCTATTTTGATCAAACCCACATGAAGAAATAACTGAATTCTTCAAACCAATTATGTTTTCTTGCTATTTTGCTCTGCCCAACAATGAAAAGCTTGAATCTTGAAACCCAAATTAAGTGTTACAGAGAAAAAAAAAAAATCAAGAAATGAGAAAAATAGAATCTTGATTAAGCTGATGAGATCCAAAGAACTTACAGAAGCTGGTGAAGATCTGAAAGATAGGAGAGAAAGATGCTAATGGCAGTGAGGATTTGTTAGCAAGGAAGAGTTTTGGAGTAGTGAACAGTGGAAATTGGATAGCAGCTGAAAGTAGCCACCTATTGAGGGGTTGTCCATGCTATATAAGAATTATCATGACCATATTGCCCCTGGTTGTGTTGAGACCAAAACCCCTATTTTTTGGCTTTTACTTTTTTTT